TATTAGTAAATAAGAGATAAAAGTTGTAATAAATTGTGTGATATTAGTCGAATAGGTAAATACATTCATTAATAACAGAGTAATTGAACAATTTTCAATCCATTATTCATCGTATTGTTTGATCGATGATCGAATATCCTTAAAGGTCACCGTTTTTGCACTTCTTAATATTTTTTGCAATGCCTCTCGACGATCAGTAACATATCGATGTGTCAAAACAAGAAGATATAGATTTGTTCTGCAATGCAAAAATTGATTGTTTTTTTTTTTTTTTTTTCAAGGCACAATGATATATGATATGGATTAACAATCGTTTGATGATGATATATTATTGGGAAATCGGGAAGATCAAAAGAAAAATATTGGAAATGAACGGAATACACTAATTCAATTCCTTCATAGATTTATTATTATAATTCTGATCAATCAATAATGCCTTCCACTTTTTTGATAATTTCAAAATTTAAATTTAAAATGACAAACGAAGTAAAGAAGCAAAAAATGGAAGCAATAAGCGGTGCTATCCAAATGATATTTGATCCAATGAAATTCATTGTTATAAGGCAAAGTAAACTAAATGTATAAAATCCCACTGATATAATAAGTATTACAAGTTGTGGATATAGCAGTTCTGGTCGAATTAACTGAAATTGATGAATGAATGAATGAATGGAGAATTAATCCTAATTTAATTAGGATTTAATTTTAATTAGGACCTAATTTAATTTGTTAAATCTATATTAGCATTGCATTAAATGTTTAAAGTTAGATCTGGATTAAGCTATCCGATCCTGTTGTTTAAGCTTTTAAATTCACTTTAGCACTTTATCAAGTGTTTGAAGAAATATGACATTTCTCGGTAAAGTACTACTATGTTTCCTCGAAAATAAGACAGGGTATTGTATTATACCTCCCCTAAAAAAAAGAAAAAACTGCTGGGGCTCATTTCCAGGGGGATGTCTTATTTTCGGGGTAAGTTTGAAGACTCAGCGCCAGCTGACGCTTCCCGCGGCCCGTGCTAAGTGGCGACGGGGACGGGAAATGGCCCGAGTCCTCGCACCAGCGCTCCCTGCGGTCGCGCCGAACGACGAAGAAACTAGGCAATGGACAATGGCTAGCAGAGGGTTGGGATGCGCCTTAGGCCTCATCTAGGCTTGGTACGGTTGTACAGAACACCAGTGCCGGATGCCAGTCCTTCCTGCGGCTGCGAAAAAACTTTCCTGAGGACGGTTTATATTAAGCCTCTTTCTGAAAATTAATTTTGGATCATTGATCATGGATCGATAATTATTAATTATATTCTGATAAACTTATTTAAATAAAAATTAAGTTTACTCGTGTGGCTAAAATACTGGTAATAACAGTAATTACATGAACAATATGTACACCGATCCATAAAGCTATAGCTATCCGATACAGTAATGTATAATGACTGGCTCTCACACGTGCATAATGCTGAAAATGTAATCAACCTTTTTCCTGCTTAATAGAATGCATCAATCAAAAAACATAAATACGTAAAATTAAAATGTGACAATTAAGTGATAAGTTATGACGTGATAAGTTATGACGTGATAAGTAATGATTATGAGACTTACTTGAAAAAATTGCTTATATAATGGAGATTTATGATGAAGACTTGGATTGATTAATAAAATAATACCAATTGAAATGGCTGCTATGATAACAAGTAAAGTGATCGGTTGATGACATAGCAATAATGTCTACAATTATTTCTGTGATTATTTCAAATCAAATATTTCATTAATTAATTAATTTTATTAAATGGAAGCGTAACCCATCAAATCTTTTTCTATATATGCATATATATGTATTAATAATTGAAAAATGATTATTTCCAAACTGTAAATGAAATTCATTGTAATCAGTTCAACAGTATGACAGATTTATTTTAATGTTTCAAGAAGTTATCATTTTAACTCTTTAAAATTTGGCAAATTAAATTCTTAAATATGTTAAAACTTAAAAATTTATTTATTTAACACTATAGTAGAAATGAATTCTCTAATTATATATCAAATTAATTGTAATAAAATGGCAAATATGCAGATATCAGATAAATTATGATAAAATGATAAACCTGTACATGAATCCCACAACGCCGATGATAATTTACATCCGCGAAATGAGGTGGTAATACGGTATAGCTACACATTGCTCATAACAGCATTTAACGAACAAGTTTAAGAAATGGAAGACGAAGAAGAATGGCAGTAAAAGCTAATATTTTAAATCTTTCTGAACAACTGTTTCATGTTTAAACATCTCCAATACTTTTTAAAAAAGACGCTGTAATCAATTAATCAATAAACAAAGAAAGGATAGGAAAAAAAGAAAAGTCTTTTCTTATCAGTAATACTTATCAACGAATATCTTGGATGTAATAATTTTACAAAAAAAAAAGTTTAATTTAAAACTTTCATATTTTATTTAGAAAACTAAGTTGCAAAAAGTATACAAAATACCCATTTTTCTTGCATCATTACTTACCGTATTGATAAATTCAAGTTGTATTTGAAGATATATTTAAGTTATCATTGAAGAGGTAAAAAGATAAATGCTACTTTTACGATGATATATAATATGTTAAATAAGCGGAATGATCAAGTTGCAAAAAATGCTGTTACTTTTGAAGAGTTAAGTAATTTGATATTTTTTGCAAAATTAAATCGGTATGATTTAATTATAGTATCATAGTTTATGATTACAAATGGCGAAAAAATGATACTGTAATAGATTAAAAAACGGGATGGGTTTGTTGATAACGATAAATGATTATATTTGATAAGCTATAATTTCATGTTTCAAGAAGAAAGAAAAATACGATTATGAAAATGAGGTTAAAATTGACATGAATTATTGTCCTAATTGGCATATTGTAAGTAATGCAACCATAACATTTACGCAGTACTACTCATTGTACCGTAATCTATTAATGGATATTTTGAAAATTTAAAAGGAAACAAATACGATATTCAAAATACGATCTTTTTATTTATTAAATAAACGATAGATACCGTTATTATAGGTACAAGTTGAAAATATTTTTAGCAGTATAAATAGTAATGCACAAACAAGCAAAGTATGATTTAAAAAATGAACAAAGAAATATATTAATATAAAATACAAAAAAATAATATCATCACAAGAAGCAATAAATAAATTATCATGAAGTAGTTTGAAAAAAAAAAGAAAATTCTTTTTAATGAAAACTAACTTGTTCAATTATTATATACAATTTAAAAATTTAATTTAGTAAAATATGTGAGAAAAAAATTAGGAAATAGGGCAGTTAAGCAAATCATTAGTGATACAATCAAAGATATAATGGAAACATTGCCTATGACAAATTTATTTGAATTAATATTTAATTATTCCTATCGTAATTATTCCTATTTATTAATTATTCCTATTTATTATTCCTATTTATTAATTTATTTAAGCGAAATCCACTATTTATTTCATTCATTCACAAGTATTTAATTTTATGGTTAATTTGTACTAATTGCAAGAATCTTCATCAAAAAAAAAAAAAATTTACAAAATACATCATTCATCGTTGTTCCATATGGTTCTCATCAATAAAAGGATAAAAATGATGGAAGCACTTTAATTTTAAAACTTAAAGTCAATCCTGATAGGTAAATATAAAAGTCATGTATAGTAATCATGGTTAAAGGCAAGATAACACCTGTTAGATAGTAAATTATTCCTTTTGATAAACATCTATAAATGCGATCATTTGATCTGACAACATGGATGGAAATTTTCGGCTCGTTCCTGCATAATTTGACTTCTTTCTTACGGCAAATTCCACATCAATTTCATTTGTTCCGGTCAAGTTGACACTAGCAGTGACAAGTTGTTCGGAATCCATTTCATACATCATTTCATTATGCGCATTTGTTATATCTTTATCAATTGTGATATTTTTCATAATATCAGCATTTGTACTTTCTACTTTTATTATATTCGCTGAATTTAAGCATTTCTCTATCTTTGTTTCTTTTTTTGGATCTATGTCAGATTTCCTAGCGAAACGAACGCTTTGCTTACGAGCAACTTGTGGACTTCTTGAAGCTGATACTTCTGTAGTCACGCATGAATCCGACATTATATTATCCGGAATGGATAGAGCTTTCTGAAATATTACCACTACTGGATGTTATATTTGTGAAGAGAGAAATCGAATTTTTTGAGTTCTAATTTTAGGAAAGCATTGCTTTTTTTCTCTCTTTAAAAATTTTAAAATTTGTTTCAATTTACAATTCAACCAATGAATTCCTACAGAAAGATAAATATTTTACTAAAAAATATCACTGATAAGTATTTGTTAACAGATATCATTTCTACTTACGCTCACTATGGTGCTTTTTATATCATCATTTTTCATTTTTAAACTTCTAAAACTGCTTCGTGGTGTTTCAATACTACTTTTCGAGAGAAAACTGGAACGAGCAGAACAAGTGGATTTACGCCTTTGATAGAACAAGTCGATCACATGATTTTCCAGACGTACTGTCTAAAAATTTTAAAAAAAAATCAATGAATTTTATAAGCTGATAAATGGACTATCCTTTGATTTCCCAGGCGTACTGTCTAAAAATTTAGCAATGAATTTTATAATCTGACAAATAGGCTATCATTTGAATCATAACATAACAGACTATCAATCATTTTGAAGAGTTAATTCATTAAATATATCTAATTTTTAATAATAATTAAAAATTTCAAAATTTACTTTTGTGCTGTGATATGGATGAATGGGAATAAGCCATAATTAAGGTAAGAGTTTTAATTAGATATATTCAATACCACAATTTTATGGATTTATTTTACTAGTTTTTTTTTCGTCTTGGATAAATTTTCTTTACTTCACATTATTTAATTTTTCTCTATCAAAATTGCGCTTTTTTTTTGTAGAAAGATTACTTCTTTTTTATGAAAGGAATAAGAAGCATAAAACGTTGTATTCCAATAATTGGTACTTATAATCCAGGTAAATAGTTCCTAGATCAATGATTAAATTCTTTATATAATATATGAATGATAGAATTCAGTATTTTTTTCTTTTTTTTAAAGAACTACAAACCCATTTATATCGATGAATAAATATGACAAAAAAGCATACCTTGTCAATCGATTGTGCATATTCAATTTCATTCAGTACTTCAAAATTGAAATTGTCGTTGTCATCTAATAAATCCCGGAATAGTATCACCGTTTCATCATTCTACAAGAAATTCATTTGATAGAAATGTATTATCCAATCAGATATCAAAATCAAACTATTAACAGGAAAAAAAGTTGTTCTCGAGAAATCACTTAGCAATATTGAGTCCCATTTTTAAGACATCTTACTGTTTCCATTTCAAATTTAATTTTGGCTTCTCAATTAATGTTTCTTTTTTTTGCTTTCTTTGACAACTGTGAGAGAAATAAAATATTAGATTGGTTTTTGTAGAATATTCTTACTATCAGTATTAACTGATTTTATCAATCCATTTATTTTATCGAACAAACTTGAAGTGTTGTCTAATGCTGAAATGCTTGTAACCCAATAAAACCAGAATTTAGTATAACTTTTTTTTTCAATTCTTCAAAGATCACTTACAGGTATATCATTGAAAAGGACGCATAACATGGCTAAATCATAAAGAATACGAAGCCTATTTGGATGAGTGGGTCTACGCCAGATACGTCGACCCATCAGAAATATTTCCGCATATTCCCGCTTAACATCAATCCATGTTCGTTTCTTCTCCTCTTTATCAACAATTAATGGAGCTAATCGATAATAACAAGTATAAATCGCGGATGCATACCTGAAATTAGCATAAAAGTACTTCTAATTACGATAATTGATATACAATAATTAAAATCAAAATATAAATACAATAAAACAAACCATGCAAGGCAATAATATTTTTTGGTTATATTATTAATTCGTCGAAGCCATTCCATACAAATTGCTCGTTTCTCATCTATATCGTAATGATCCAAATTTCCATGTTGAAATTTGAATAAATCATTAGCTGACCAATTGTCACCCTTAAAATGGATTAGCATTTGGAAAAAGCTAATTTGTTGCTGAACAATTTGTTGCTACTCGATATTTGTCAACCTATGAATGAACTGAATTTAATTCTCAACTATGAACTATTATTTTAAAATCTGTTTTTTTCAAGCTCAATTTTTATTTTGAAATCTCAGTTTTTTTCCTTTTGTTTATTATTAAACCAAATCAAGAATTGCATAACCGACATCATTGATTTTAAATTTAAGTTAGTAACTGTTAAAGGGATTATAAAAGAAGAAATAATATGTAAAACATGGATAAATTGATAATTCCAAGAAAGAAAATAATATTTTTTGTATGGATATATGAAGGGATAAATAGAATAACTCAAAATAAGTAGCACAGTTCTACCGCATTTTGGAAAGAATCTGATTTTTTTAAAATTTTATTTGGTATATTAATACTTAAACAGTCTTAATCATTTATTAAACTTACTTTTCGTTTCATTCGTTCCAATTCATTTGTCGTCTTTCCACCTAATTTTGATATCAGTTGCCTTACTGGTTTAACTAAAATATGTTTACTCTTGTTTTTTTATCAAAATTATCTGATAATGCACTAGTTTTTGATATAACTGCAATATATTCAGCATTTGTGGTATATTCAATATTTCATATGATTAATATAATACTTACCTTGTCGTGATATAATTACAAAATTATATCACATAACCTGTTCAACAGGAAAAAAAAACCCCATGTCACCAATTATATCATCATATTAATTTATTCTATGATGATTCATATTTATTCATTTTACAGGGAAATTTTTTCCACTTAATTTTAGTTTCATTTTTAAATAGTGATAGTATCAATCACAAGTTAACTCTTATTTCAATCTTTTCTATAACATGTGCCAATTTTATCAATCATATCAGTCGTTTTGGGAATTATTCAAATGTAATTCATATGAAAGCGATAATTAATGAGAATTTATCAATAAACCTGAATTGGGTGAAGGTTTTATCTTCAAATGGCAAATTTTCTTAGCTTGAGGTACTAAACACAATAATGGCGAACATAAACATTGTTTCATTGAAATTTCATATTTCTAAAATTGTCACAACATAATTATTATAACTTTTTATTCTTTTTAGCAAATTCAAAATTATTGGTGGAAATTTTTAATTTCGTTCTCTTCGTTACTATTTTAAGCCTTAAAGTACACAAACAAATAAATCATCTTGTAATCTTTCATCTTTTCTTCGGAATATTTGACTTATAATGAAGTTGTATGATTAACTCAACGAAATTATTTCTTATTTGAGAAAGAGAACGAAGATATATAATGAAAAAATAAATAAACTGACTAATAATCTATGGAAGTATAATCCACATAATGTACAACGAGCTTTCTTTAAACCTCGAGTAAGTTTCTTGTGAAAAGTACGAATTTTACTGGTACGATGAGCGGGATTCGAATTCATCGATCTGAAATTTCCCAATCAAATCTTTATTTGAAAGTATTACAGTATGAAGAAGAAAAAAACATCAATGCAAGAAAGAGAAAGAAAGAGAGAGAGAGAGAAGAAGGAAGTGTAAAAAAGATGAATTGTTAATATTCGATCATTTCTAACAAATTTCTTGAGTATCTTATCAATATTCCATAATATAATGATAGTGATCGATATGATATTTACAATAAATAATATATTAATTAGTAATTTTTAATTTTTGAAAAAAAGGAAAATCGAACATATTTAGGAATTCCCTTCAAAATTCGAAATGATAATAGTGACAAAGGGAAGAAAGACAATAGCTTTGTGACATATTGTCATCCGATCCTATGATTTGAGCATTTTAAGTGCTCCGTTTCACTATTCAAACTTGCCATAAAATTATTGGTCAAAGAGGAGAAATAAATTTTAAACATCAGAAATGAAATGATTGAATCAACCAATCCATCAATCAATCGACCGATCAATCAATCAGTCCATCAATCGATCAACCAATCAATTTCAGGGATTAATTTTAAGCATTTTAACCAGTCACTTGTTAGAAATGAACTGATTTCCTCCCCTTCCTTTTCTTTATTGAGTCATAGATTTTTAGCTGATTTTTGGTTTGACATACTGAAAAATTCATGATCAATGAAATTTTATATTTGCGAAAAAGCTTTGATTATTTCTTACATATCAACTGATGGATTTTTCTTTTTTGTCTAAAATTAATCTGATAATTTGTACTTTATTTTCTTTTTTTTTTAATTAAAATATCAGTTAATGTTAATGATTTAAGAGAATTGATATTGAATTAGCAGTACTGTAACAATGATTTAAACTTGTGCAAGTTACAGTATACTTGTAGGTTAAAACAATTACAGTTGTTGAGATAAAAAAAAAAAAGGAAGAAAAAGTGCGACATTATGAGTTCAACGATAGAGAATGGTTTTAAGATGTTTATAAACTAAGACTATCCAAAAAAAGACAGGAAAGGACTGATTGTCCTTAAAGATGGCAGTCATTCAATTGGATGAGTGTAGTGAAGAGGAAAAATGGAAAAATCTTGAGACGTCTTTTTGCGCCATTTTTCTCATTAAACTACTTCCTGAAAATTGCTATCGTGATTGCTTGCCTAAGCAAAAATTGAAAGAACTGAGCACTAAAATCTGCCAAAGTGTGTAATAAACCTAATGAGATAAATAAAGCGACAATCATCTTTATGTGACATTTTCTCCACCATTCTCTTTTTTTTTTTTGAATTCTTTCAAATAAATGACAAAATGACAAATCAATAAATTTGAAAAATATTAGCTTTAGAAACATAATTGCTAGATGGATAATGTGAACAAGAAAGAAATGTAATGATTTGGATAGCTTCAATTTGGCTAAAGATTATAATGATGAATAGTAGTTTAACAAAGAGCACCGAAAAAAAAAGTGGAATTAAATGACAATAGGTCGAACAGGATAGTTGGTCATTATAAACTTTGTTCAAAGTGACCTTTATGTTGATTTCTATCACATATGATGGTATTTGCATTGTATGATCGAATATTTTAATATGATAATTCATTAAGAAGTGAAATAGAATCATAAGATCTGCTCGATGATAATACTGCTCAATTTGTTACCACTCGAAATCTTTTTAAACTAAATTCTTTGAATGAAATACAAGAATTTTATCATTAAATCACTTATGTATAGACAGATCAATCAATAATCCTATCATCGATATTGCGATATTTAGCGCAATGAATCAGGTAAAAAATATTTTTTATAAAGCAACAGAATGAGTAATAAACAACCAAATAACATTTTATAATCAAAATAATCTAAGTTGAATGATTCCCATTCTATACAACAATCTAACTAACATGTTTATAATTACGAAGTCGTTGATTGGTCACAATATGGAATGACCGGTCCTGATAGTTAAAAACATGAAATGATCGGACTGATAATTAAAATATGGCATGAACTGTCCGATGATCACAATATGGAATGACCGTTCCTGAT